TTTTTGGGTTCATTGAGAACATGGTTGTTGTTCAATAATAAAATTATTCCTCAAAAATACAACTTGCCTAATAATTCTGCACTCCCTGTATATTGTACAACTATTACAGACTTCATGCTGCTATACTTCTTAAGCAGACAGTAGTCTTGGTGGATTATTAAAACACAGTTATATAATCGGACTGTGCATCCTTCATGATGATGATGGCTGAAGGCACATTTTCTTTCGCAGTAAAATCCTTTTTTTTAATGGCCTTCGATGCTTATCTTTGTGTTATTTAAGCCCCCTGTGAGCCCTGTTGACTTTTTGTGTTGTTGTGTATGTTTCCTCTCACGATTCAAGGCTTACACCCGTGCTGAATAGATGAGTTTATGAACAGCTTGCCTCTCTCACATTAGATTGATTAATAGTCCAATCAGGGCTAAAGCAGGCAAAATGTCACAGGGGAACGGTTGTCATGCAAAATCGGCCTTTTATATCTGTGTCCACGAAAAAGGGTAGGCTGGCTTAATGCTGTCACAGGGCGTCACTAATTTATCTGTGTTGTGTGAGCCAGTGATTGAGGATCTCTGCTGTGTTTTAAATGCAAAGCCTAAAGCCAGTAGGGGGGCAATCAGGATATTAGCGTGCGTGAGCATGAAGCCTGGTCTTTGATTGGATTGGGTTTATGTGTCTGCATTGCCGTGAGAGTGTGAAAGACACAGAGGGAGTACTCGTGCTTGTTTACATGCGAATTCTTGAAGGTTTTAGCGGGTGCATTGGGGCCAAACTGTCTGTCTTTGCATGACTTCATGGATTACTTGCAGTTGTTGATGTTTGTCTGTCTGTTTGCATTGTGCTGCTGGCCAAATCCTTTGTGTCTGTGCTGTACGTTTTCCCATACGTCTTCTCATTCAATATCTGCCAATGACCCGCAAAGTGCATTTAATGTGTGGCACATAGCAGGTCATCTGATGGGAGTGACCTCTGGGTCTGAGTTAGCCAGAGGTATCTAATTTGAGGTCAAGTGTTGGATTGGTGTGTTCCGTTCCCCTCACTAATGGCAAGCTGATAGATAAATGCCCTAAAAGCGTGCACTCGCACATAGACAGAGGCCTGGTTACGCTTGTGTTGCTGTTCTCCTCATGCGACCATCCATTCCCGCATGACTGACTTTATCTCAGTGGCGTCTATTACACAACAGGGAAAAGACCTTATCTGGGACTGTAGCAATTACACAAACTGAGAGCACAAGGCAGACAAATAATTGTTCTCTTGCATTACACCTATATATCACCTTCATCCTTAATAAACCATGACACACAGCACAGAAAGTTATTAGAGCCTTGCTTTTTTGCAAAGTCCCCAGGCTTGAAAATTGAAACAGTTTGCAGTCGAGGACAGGCAAGTGTTTGGCTGTGAAGTCAAAATACCTCCAGCAGCACAAAGCTGCTACGGTCTCTTAGCTTAATGCTGTAATCTGAACTGATTAATCTACTGAATAGAGTGTACCACAAATGGGTTTAATATGGTGGACATCACGCTAAGGGATTTGCCCTTACATTAACCTTAGAGGCAAAGTGCTATTCATCAGTTTAAAAGTTCCACCCACTTTTATGCTGAAAACAGCAGCCAAAATGCAGAAGCAGTGTATGAAAAACTAACTAAACCCCATGATTCAGTGACTTTTAGAACCACTTTTATCAGCAATACCTTAAAATACCTTTTTTCTGTATGATTTTCTCACTTTCTCGCAGCTTTGTGCAGAAATTTTGGTCCACTTTTCTGTATAACATTGCGTCAGTTAATTGTTCATCTGAGGTTGCACTCACCTAATTTTAAGACCTGATTTTTATGCCCCAATACATAAAAAACAGAAGTGAAAGAAGGTGTACTTTCTTTTCACTTTGCCTGCAATAGCCCCATAAAAAAAACTCCAAAAAACTATCTTTCCATTAAAAGCTTTACCTGACCAACAAAATTGCTCACAAACAATTTTTTAAATCTATTAGTCATTCAGAAATGTATTCTTATGTACCAATTTGCTGCTGTTCTCTGTTGAATCGCGGCTTGCATTGATTATTTTGGACTGCTGGTCAAAAGAAGCAATTTCAAAATGCCATCTATCCGATGTTATATAAATGGTTTGATTACTTTATTCTCTTGAAAGTGAAAGACTAAGCTAATTCTGCTTGTTTCTAGGAGACCAGGAGGTGGAGGAGAAAGACATAAGCGCGGACCTTCACAGTCCTCTGATCTACCCTTTGCCTGAAGAGATTCAAAAGGTTAGCACTACTTTGAAAGTTCCTGATTATTTTGGTTAGAATTATATCTGAACACATAGATTCTAGTCTTAACAAAGCAAAATTAAGTCATTTTCATTCTATACATGTGTTTGGACCATACTGTACCTTTTAAAGCACCATGTTAATGAAACACCATCTTGAAACCACATATGTTGTTAACAAACGTGCTTCTTTTTACAACTCAGAAATGTAAATGTGTTGAAATTACATTTGTTGCAATGTGAGGTGTGCTTCGTCGCTGCACCCACTCCATATGCTGCACTAATCCATATAATTTGAATAAGAAATGGAACAATGCTTCCTCTTGTAATCTTCCATCTGTTTTAACGTAAAGCTCGCTCTCAGTAACACGGCAACGGCAGCGTGTTGCTTTGTCTCCGTGTCAATGTGAGGTGGCGGTTGCATTTTCCCATATGATATGCCATATGGTATGAATATTAATGATCAGGGAATCTTGCTTGTTTTTCCTTTTTAACCACGAATCACATTACAGTGGGGGAAATAATTATTTGACCCGCTGCTGAATTTGTGAATTCTGCAGGGGAAAGAAATGAAAGAAATCTCTTCCAAAGAATCAAGAGTTTCTAAATTCTATGGCAGTTTCATTTTAATGGAGAGAGACAGAATATCAAACAAAGATTTGGAAAAAAACAAACAAACATCAAAGTTATAAAGTGATTAGCATGTCATTTAGAGAAAAGTGTATTTGATACCCAAGTAAAAAAAAACTTAGTACTTGGTGGAGAAACCCTTGTTGGCAAGCACAGTGGTAAGATTTTCCTTGTTGTTGGTCACCAGGTTTGCACATGTCTCAGGAAGGATTTTAGGTTTCTTGGCTACTGCTTGGCAACTCGAAACTTCAGCTCCTTCCACTGATTTTCTATAGGATTGAGGTCTGGAGACTGCTAGGCCACTCCATGACCTTGATGTGCTTCTTCTTTAGCCATTCCTTTGTTGCCTCAGATCATTGTCATACCGGAAGACACATCCACGACATGTCTTCAGTGTTTTGGTTGAGGGAAGGAGGATTTCAACCAAGATTTTATGTACATGTCCCCATCCATTGGCCCAGATGCAGGGAGGTCGTCCTGTACCCGTAGCAGAAAAACAGCCTCAAAGCATAACGTTTCCACCTCCGTGCTTGACTGTGGGGATGGTGTTCTTTTGGTCACACTCAGGATTTCTCTTCTTTCTCCCAATCCTTTTCTGATCCTATAACCTCATCATTTAGATGTTCACTGGCAAACTTAAGACAGGCCTGTACTTGTGCCTTATCTAGAAGGGGACCTTGTGGGTCGATGCGTCTCTAACAGCATTACCATCAACACAGGAGCATCACAGGGATGTGTCCTCTCGCCACTGCTCTACTCCCTCTACACTTCAGACTGTGTGGCCACCCATGGCTCCAACACCATTGTGAAGTTTGCTGACGACACAGTGGTGTTGGGCGCCATCTCCGACAACGATGAGGCGGCCTACATGGATGAAGTGAAGAATCTGGCATCATGATGCCAGGACAACCACCTCCAGCTGAACGTTGGCAAGACCAAGGAGCTGGTGGTGGACTTCAGAAGGAGTCAGCACAGAGACTACAAGCCCATTATCATCAATGGAGCTCCAGTGGAGAGGGTGCAGTCCTTCAAGTATCTTGATGTCCACATCTCCTCAGACCTGACATGGGCTGCCCACATTCAGGTCCAGACCAAAAAGGCTAGGCAGCGCCTGTACTACCTACGACAACTGAGGAAGTTCAGGGTCTCTCCAAAGATCCTCAGGATTTTCTATAGAGGCGCTGTGGAGAGCATCCTCACACAGAACATCACATCCTGGTTTGGGAACAGCTGTGTTAAGGACCAAAAAGCCCTTCAGAGATTGATCCATACAGCAGAACGCTGCTGCAGGATTGCTCTCCCCCTGCTTCAGGACACCTACACCAGGAGATGCCGGACTAGAGCAGCGCAGATACTGAAGGACCCGTCCCATCCTGGCAACAAACTGTTCCAACTTCTGCAATCTGGTAGAAGGTTCCGCATCTTCCGGGCAAGGACAGAGAGACTCAAGAGGAGCTTCTATCCCCAAGCCATCCGGGCTCAAAACCAAACATTTCACTGTGTGTTATACTTGTATAACTATGCATGTGATGAATAAAGAACCTTGAACCTTGAACACCATGAAGCAAGTCTTGTATGAAGCCAAATTTTCCAGTGACAATAGTATCGTTAGTATCCTTACAGCCAGCAGGTGGTTAATAATGATGGGGACCTTTGAAACTGTCTTTCTGTATCTGTAGATCTCAAAAGGCTATGGAGCTTGACAACACCCTTGTCTTTGCCTGTCTGCGTGTGTACTATACCCTTGCTTTCGCTGCCTAGGGTTGGGTGTATAATCTTAAGACACTATCATGATTTTGATTAAAACTGTATTCCTGGCATATAAGGTTTTTCTTTTTCCCATTTGCATTTGTATCCATTGAATGCATTAATTATCACTTCATCAAACAGATTCTGATGTGACTCATCATGCGAACGGTTTAGTTAGGTGATGGTGGGGTACGTGGGATGTTGCGCCTCTGCTCTTTCTCTCTGAAATAACTGAGACACTCAGTTTTTTTAGGTAATACTTCCACATTAAACTTAACAGTGCAGTTTCATATTTGGGGATGTGGACTATTTTTGTTAATGTTGTTTTTAATATGAAACTTTAAACACACACTGAAACTTAAAAGGTGCCATATGATACGCTTCATCCCTGTTTGTTTTTCTTATTATCTCACACTCTTGTTGCAATAAATCTGGATTATCTTTCAGTATGTTACATTTGTCATTTATGACCCATTTATGTAGGCTGATCCAGTGTGGCAAGCGCAAAGTAGTAAAAAGTCCCTGTGTGTGTGCACTTCTCTCTGCTGTTGCTTTGCTTCTTCTTTGCTGTTGCACTTCCTCTGTCTGCTGCTGTCTAGTAATTACTGGAATATGCTATGGCTTAGAACAATACACTCCCTGGTTTAATGTAATGGTGGCCGTTCCATCCCCGAGTTCATAAAAAGGTCCCATAGTCTCCCCCAGCAGACTCCCATAAACACCTTCATTCATTCACATCCCCCGTCTATCTCTCTGCTTGCTGAGAGTCAAATGGGAATCCGTTCTGTTATTGATTTCTGTGGCAGGTACCTACCATCCATTTCTGTCCTTCTGTGTATGATTTGTCACAGGGGGCATGTGATAACCAGACATGGAGCAAAGGCCTGAAAGAAAGGGGCATTAACATAATCTAATGCATGACTGGAGAAGGAGACTCATTTTTGCCCCTTTGATTTAGTCAGGGTCTGTCTTCCTCCTTTCCTGTGTTCCTGCCTCTGTCATGTACTCAGATTCCAATAGATCTGTGAAATAGAGGACATTCTGGGCTTAGCCCCCCACCCCGCACACCCTCCGATGGGTGCACTTCAGTACCATTTATTGGAGGCTTAGGCAGCCAGGGTCGAGCGAAGAGCACAAAAACCACAGAGGTCGTGTGTGTTGCATGAGCAAACCTGTGGGCAGCACCATGTGTACTGGTTGGCGTGGGAGGCAAAGAGGAGGTGGTGTACTAACAGGAACATTTAAGTGCTGTTAATCCTGGTGTGCTGGGAGAGGGCTGGCTGTGAGGTGGGCTGCTGTTTTACACACACACACACACACACACACACACACACACACACACACACACACACACACACACACACACCTACGTCATGCCTCTCACCCACGCACTCAGGCACTGAAACAAATACTTTCACTTAACTTTCATGCCAACAGTATGTTTATTGTGAGGGATGCAGGTGATTAACTGCAGCCACAGGTTCACAGTCATTAACAAAAAGCCTCACATTTCAGGACAGGACATAGTGCAACATCACCAACTATCAATACAGTTTTCATGCACATGTAGGCTTTCTCCTGCTGTCTTATTTTATTATTTTTTATTTAAGCTGTTCATTCTTTTAACTTTGTGCTTTCCTCTGTATTGATTATTTTAGTGAGCCTCATTGAATACCAAGGCAACAGTACCAGCCATCCTTTAAACAAAGCAGAACCTTTGTTAACCGATTTATGTCTCTGTGGTTGGCAGTTTTTTTTCAAGAGAAACTAAAATTTGGTATTTGTACTTTCACTCAAACATGCTGAGAACGCATGCTGCTGCTTTGCAGTTTCACCCTGTGTCATGTGAACGCAGTCACACTTCCCTTCAGTCTCGTTCTTTGTCTTTCTCAAGGACACATCAGTAATCATTATTCATGGAGCAGATAACACTGCCCCCTTTTTCCATTGCTGGTCATAGAATTGAAAATCAATTCACACCTAACTGTCTAAGCTGATGATCAGACTGCTGGCATGTTTCTACAGGTACCAGTGAAAACATTATTCAATTTGAGGACTCAGATGGTAAAACTCTAAAATGCAATGGTATCATCCTTTTAGTCTGTCATAAGATATATATATTTCTGACCAAAATTATATTTTTTGCAAATTAAAAAAACAACCAAAAAAGTAAAAAACAAATAAGCAAACTACCACGCCTTACTGTGCAGTTCTTTAAATGAGTGCTTGAGGCTGACACTATAAACTATGATAGAGGAAAACAATGATTATATGCTATATAAATGCATATAATCATGCATTTATATAGCAAAATGGTTATGCCACAGTTGCACTGAACAAACAGTGGCTGGAGATCACAGCAAGGCCAAAATTAGTGTCACTGTGTGCAATGGATTTTGTGACGCTTACCTATGAAGTGTTTTTGCCAACTTATTACTGTGATGCCTGTATATAAGTTGGGAAAAATGCAAACATGTTGCTGCTTGCACACACAGAAATTTATATAAAGAACAATTGCAATCACAAATCTCCCTGCTTTCCTGGGTGTTCGGCTGCTAGTCTGTCCTTCACATCTTCCCTGCCACCAGCGTCTAGACCCTGGGAAGTCCTGTCCTAAAT